TTTTTTTTTTTTTTTTTTTTTTTTTTTTTTTACGTTTAAAAGGTGCTACAAGAGAAAACCAAGAATATAACTCGATACTCGATTCATGATATTTTTTTCATTGTGTGATCCCTAAATGCGCGGGACGCCATTTTTGATATAGCAGCCGCGAGAGACGGGACTCTAGCCAACGCGGACGTGACTCTAGCGCGTGGCGGCGCATTGTGTAACTTCGAGAGTGCGTAGTTCTTTCTACCCTGCATTTCCGTGGATCAAGAGCAATTGCAGAAAAGTGTCTGTGTTTGTACATATAAATGGCGTCGGACGAAAGATGGTATTTTACGAAGGAACAGTTAGCGAATACACCGAGCAGAAGATCCGGCTTGGATGCGGACAAAGAGCTGAGCTATCGTCAGCAGGCGGCGAATTTTATTCAGGACATGGGACAACGACTAGTCGTGTATCCTTCGATATGTGTTAGTCCGCACGTTTCAGTGTTGCGTTCTTTTGGCTTTCTTCCCCTCTCCCTCTCCTGCTCTTTGTAGTATTATTTCTAATTATAATTTTGTTCAAAGCAAACGCGTACGAGCCGTAAAAATATTTCGCGTGCAAAGAACCACGCGACGCATTTCTGCGATCCCGTGACACGTGTGGATCGGATCCGTCGCTATAACGGGTCTTCCGCGTGGCCTAACGGGTGACTTGCCGAGATCGAAGATTCACCATATTGGAATCTCATGTATTACAGGTATCGTAAACGATTGCTCTTGTGAATGCCTGTGGCAAGGTGACAAATATTGTTTTTGGAAATGCGAAAAAACCAAATTAAACAAAATATATTGCTTCTGAAATAACATACATAAGTTATTTCAAACAGACACACACACATACATATGTACATATATGTATTTAGGAGATTAAATAATAACATATATTGAAAAACTAATAAAAAACTAATAAATTATTTGTTGAATTAAATTTAATAGAAACTTTTTAGTTAAACATGTGTACGAGTACACACACACACACAAGATATTTATTTGCATTTATTTATTCATTCTCCTTACACAAGAGTATTTTCTACTTTGTATTTTATACAATACAATAAAAAAAGGCAATGACAAAGCCTTTATTTCTTATATTTATCTATTTCAGGTACTTCGAATATATTTATTTAATGAAGAACCATTTTGGTAAATTAGAAACATTTTTATTAAATTATGTAATTTATTAAAATATACTTAAAGATCTAACAATTTCGATAATTGATGCTTTTGTGATATATTGTGCATGGTTTCAAAGTCAAAAAGCCTACGTGCATATAAAATCTAATATTATTGTAAACTGCTAGATGAAACTATAAATTATCATTTTTTCTTTTATTAAACTCAATCTTGCGCTTGACTCGTCAAGTTACTTCTGTAATGTAATATGAAAAACTAAATAAAACTAAATAAATTCTTGTAAACACTTATCGCCTATTGTACTTTTCTATTTTCTTTTTTATTTTGCAGTATATTTACTGAAAATATATTAAAAAAGATAATTTTATATATAGCTTATAAAATTATCTACATGTAATATATTTATATATTATATATATAAAATTATATATAATTTTATATGTAATATATAAAATTATCTCGCTTAATGATAGATATACAAAGTATATTCAAGAATATCACTTATTAAGTGTTATTAAAGATAGTAGTGAAAGTTGAATATTTTATACACAATTTTAGAGTGATTATGTTTACGATACCTGATACTATTTTCAATTTATTCTTTGTAATATATAATTTTTAGTTTTTAAAAATTTTTTGTAATATATAATTTTTAGTTTTTAAAAATTTTTTGTAATATATAATTTTTAGTTTTTAAAAATTTTTTGTAATATATAATTTTTATATCGTGCAATACTATATACATTAATTATATTTTTTATATAAGCAAAACAAATTTTAATTTGTAATTAAAATAATATCAATATATACCAATATATAATATACCAAGTAAAACATGTGTATGAAACCTATCGTATATACGTTTTAATTTAAAAAATCCGCATTAATACATGTTATAAATTTAACATAATTGCGTATAAATTGGAATAATATGTAAATAAAACCTATAACATCTATGTAAAATGTATTCTTCCTACTCGATTATCTTAAACATTAGTCATATCAATTCCATGATGATTCTTATGCCTACTGCCAAAAGAAACAGCCTGAATCAAAATGCGGCATTTATTCAAATGATATTGAATATATAAATGTATTTATGAGTTAGAAAAAGATAATTTTTTTCCTTAATGAGTAATATATATAGGTCACAACTATGTATCAATACAGCCATAGTCTACATGCACAGATTCTACATGTTCCATTCGTTGAATCAATTTCCCAGGAATTCCATTGCGATAGCAGCACTTTTCTTAGCTGCAAAAGTAGAAGAGCAACCAAGAAAATTGGAACATGTTATCAAAATGGCACATCTCTGTCTCTTTCGAGACCAGGGCCCGCCTGACAGTCGCTCGGATGTAATTATGAATTACATATAGTTTTTGCATATCTAGTATTTGTAATATATAGACATACTTGTATATATATAATACAATGACGATATTAACATGTTATTAACATATGTAGTAAGTAATATTATACCGTAAGTATTTTTGGTGTAAATTATTATCATTAACTTGTGGGTATTTGATAAAAAAGTACTCTGATATATTATGTTTTGGATTTTCTTGTGTTGTTCTCTTCATTTTGTTACAAGACTAACATGACACTTCATTTACAGCAATATCTCGAACACGCCCAAGACTTAGTGTTCAATGAAAATGTTCTTCTGCAGACGCTAGGATTTGATGTTGCTATTGATCACCCACATACTCATGTTGTTAGGTGCTGCCAATTGGTTAAAGGTATTTATACCTTAGCAAATATAATAAAAGAGAGAGAGACAGAGAAAGAAGGAAAGCACAAATTTGCATTAATCCCTCAATCCTCTTTTTAGCATCTAAAGAATTGGCTCAAACTTCATACTTTATGGCATCTAACAGGTATGTCTTCAGTTCTTAGTTTTATAGCATAAAGTATACTGTCACAATCATTAGTTGTTATAAATAATTAAACTTCTAAAAAATGTATACACTTGTAACTCCACAGATCTTTTTCAATCTATTTTTGTATAACTACAATCATCCTAAATAAGCACGAAAAAATTAACACAAGCAACTATAATTTCAATTTATGTGTAAAAATACAGAGCCTGCAAATACAAATTATCGAAAGTTTTATATAGTTTTATTAGTAAAGTTTATTAGTTTTATAAATAATTTAGTTTAGATTATTGAAACAATAACTTTTGTAAAAATAAAAACAAATAAAAAAAAAAATTTCTAATTCTTAAAATAACAAAGTATAAAAAAAGACCAAGTTTTTAAACATAATTTCTGTTTCAGTTTACATCTCACTACTATGTGCTTACAATATAAACCCACAGTTGTTGCGTGCTTTTGTATACATCTTGCATGCAAATGGTCCAATTGGGAAGTAAGTAGTTAAATATATATATGCGAAATAAATAAATTATAAACTACTTATATATATATATATATAAGGTATTTTATTTTTGTATTTTTCACGTTTATTTGTTGCAACTCATGTTAATTGTATCGGTATCAATTTAAAGTCACAGTAGGGTTTACTTAATCGAATATATTCGACCGCTTGTTTATTTCTCATGTATAGATTCCACAAAGTACAGAAGGAAAACAGTGGTTTTGGTACGTGGACAGAACCGTAACTGCAGAACTACTTCAAGAACTCACAGATGAATTTCTTCACATATTCGACAAATGCCCGTCAAGATTAAAGAAGAAAATCATGAGTATTTCCGCCAATCAAAGCCCTAGTATTCATCATTCTAGTTTGCCGAATTCTCCTTTCGTAAGTAATTTGATGTGTTAGTTACAAAATAATATTTTAAAGTTACAATTCCATGAGAAATTTTATCATTATTCATTTTCTTGTTCGATTATTTCTTGTAACATTACGAATTGGAGTATTTTATTTATTCTACAAATAGACGCGTTAAGTCAATTTTTTTTCCGACAGGATGCCGAACCGCGTAAAATACAATCACCAATAGACGGGTCTGGAGCTAGTACTTCTAGTGGCTATTCAAGTCGTTCTCATCATTCGCAACAAGAAAAACAAGATAGGCAAGAAGATAAGAAAGCCATGGCCATTGCGGGTCCATCAACATCGAGGACAGCTGTAGATTATCACCGAGAATACCGCGAAAAGAAAGAACGAGAACGTTTGGAAAGAGAGAAAGCGTCAACAATGAGCACTTCGCACATTGATCTTAACAAGTCTCATCATTCGCATCATCACAAACCTATGTCCAACACAACGAATGTGCCGAACAAACATCAAGTACCGTCGTCGGTCCAAAAGAGCAGTACAAGCCTTCATCATAATCATTATATGAAAATGGGTCCAGTGCCACAGAGACATTCTACCGGTAGTCAACCCAGAGAAGCTACCAACAGGCAACGATTGCCGAGGGATCACAACGTCAGTGCCGGTAGTATTGCGCATTCGTCGCACGTTAACGCCAATTTAGATAGTTCCTTGCCATCCGAATCCTCGTCTCATCGGACGGACGGCAATGTTGTACAGGATTCGACAACCTCATTGCACGGAAGATCGCAGGAGAAGTTGAGCAATAATAATCATAGTGGACATAGACTGAACGTGCTTGACAGTAAACATCAGACATCGTCGCACGATAAAAGGCTGTACCGAGGAGAAGACCCAAGGCTCAAGTCAGGCAAATATCCGGATATCAGTAAAATCGAGAACTCCGCACGACGAAAGCCGGATGAAAGATGCGAGGAGGTGAGACAGAGATGCGAAGAAGTGCGAAAGCTAATCGAAAAACCGCCACCAAAACAAGCGGATGTGCCGTATCTGATAAATACGGCGCCGCAGAAGCAGCAAGTGCATCCTTCTAAATACAGCAATCAGCAACAACCCGAAAAATCGCAAAGTAGCTCGCTTCCAGGCGACTCAAAACATGGAACAATGTCAATTAGCCAGAACATGCTTTCGCAAGACAAATCACCAAATGTATCGGTACCTCATACCCTTTTGCCGCACAAATCCGTTAAACAAATATATAATCAACCCAACACCGTGAGTTTGTCTGTACCGAAGGACACAATCAAGAACGGTAGTTCTCAGTCGTGTTTGCCCTCGTTGAGCAACATAGACGATTCGAAATTGGAAAAACGGCCACGAACGACCGCGTACGAGGACTCCGTCGAGAAGAATTCTGCTGACGCTCAACAGAACGCAATTCTCCATACACCTCCCAGCAAACACAGATCGCTCTTCAGTCCAGAAACACCGACTATGAAGGAACCACATCCACAAAGTTCAAAACCCAAATCAAAGCAAAAGACGCCACCTATCTCAGCCACGAAGACGATATCGCAGTTCGTCAGTTCTCCGACTTCGCAGGATTCCCTGAAGCGATCATGCCCCAGTGATAATGTAACATCCATGCACAAGAGACTTCGCGCATCAAACAACAGCGAGAGCGAACAACCGAAGAAAAAAATCGAAGATATATCTAACATGGAAGCGATGAAGATGCTTGGACGCGTGCCCGATATGATTCAACCGATACGCGATAATATATTATTGTCATCGAACGGCAAAAACAGTAATAACAGCATGACGTCTGTCATCAATGACATGAAGCCACCGGAGCTCATAAAACCATTCGAGGAACATTCTCGTTTCAATACGCAGTACAAAACCTCGTTGATAAACATGAATATGCTGACTAACGGTATGGATATGAATACTGCAATGAGGCAAGAAGCTCCGGAACATCGCGTGAAAAAAGAGTATCAGGAACATTACATGAAGAAGGATCAGTCGGGGCAAAAGACTGTGGAACCGTCGCATTCACATTTCCAGCCGAAGCTTGAATATTCGTCGCCGATGAAATCTGCGCAAAGTATAAGCGCGCTGCTTCAAGAACCACTGGCACCGATGCCGTCGTTATTGCAAAGTTTACAACAGCAGCACAGTCAAGTGCCTCTTCAGCAAATGCATCAAGAACAACAGTCGATTCATCACTCGGTGACGGATCATCAGCTACCAATGGTGACTCAGTGCTTGTCCATACCTACTGAAAGCGACAATCTCACACCAATAGCCTCGACCGTCGACATTAGTGCTCTCTCCTGCGTGCCAATAATACAGCAAAGTAGTAGAACTAACGAACCGGAATCGACGACGCAAGGTGCCTCAGAACCTACCACGTCTATTATCCCGACTGAAGAAAAACGATCTGAACATCATAAAAGCGAAAAGAAGAAGAAGAAGGAGAAACATAAGCACAAAGACAAAGAGAAGAGCAAAGAAAAGCACAAACATAAACACAAAGATAAAGACAAGGAGAGACATCGCGAGAAGAAGGACAAAGATAAGAGCGATGAAGTACCAACGGCGGCTCCTATCAAAATCACGATTCCCAAAGACAAGTTAAATTTGAGTACTGAAACGTCACCTATAAGCGGTAATGTCTCTGTCACGTCGGACAAGAATATAACGCCGCAGAGTACGGGTTTGAAAATTAAAATTCCGAAAGAGCGGCTCAAGGGCACTGATAGTGTACCAAGTTCGTCGCCAGCGCCACTTTCGGTGGTGCCGCTCAAGTTTAAGATACGGACGACTGATGGCATCTACAGAAGTTCAGCAGCAGCACCAACTTCGTTACCAGCATTACCACCGCCGACATCATCGTCATCGTTATTGTTGCCAACATCATCGTCGTCATCGTTAATATTGCCGTCTTCATCATCGTCAATGTCATCGTCAAATGGCTCCATGCACGCTACTGAATCTACAAATGAAACGCCAAGTCGAAAGCGTGAACGGATCGATTTGATTGGCGACAATTCGACGACCGTAGCCAAGAAGCAGATGATGATATCTGCGACAGGTTACGGACAGGGCTACCGACCTGGAGAACGGCAGAACGGCAGACATTATAACTCCGGCAACAATAAGGTACGTGGTAGAGGCGGCCGTCAGCACTACGGTCGCGGTCCGCCACTACATCCAGTAGCTGCCACTCAGTACGGTAATGCCGGTGGTCCCTACAATTACCGTGGCGGCCGCGGCGGCCGCAATTACCAAGCCCCACTCTATCGCGGAGACGGCGGTTACGCGAGAGGTGTCGGCAACGCGGACAACCAACCTACGGAGTCTTATTTTTGCGCGAATTACTCACAATATAACACACCCGCTGGGTACTCCATGTATGATACCATATCTCAACAATACTATCAACAATTATCTCAACAACAATCTCAGTATCCAGTGTACCCGGCGGGAAATAACATGCCTGGTTTAATAATGATAACGCCAGACGGCGCAATTAACACGTCGGTGCCGCCGCCGTCGTTGTATCAAAATTATCGAAATCCAAATCGGTCTGGTGTGTCCGTTCTGCAAATGGAAATTCCGGTATCCAAACCCGCATCACCACCTCCTCTGCCGAACGGACCACCACCCCCGCCTCCTCCGCCTCCCCCCACGACTCCGGAATAAGGTATACTTATTTCATTAGTATTTATTTCGACACGTATGATAGGACTTTCGGTGACACGATTTCCTCCCTCCCCTCATCATCTATGTGAATCGCGCGCGCATGCGCTTGTAAATTTTATATATAATTTATCTTTTACATATATATTTATATGTATAAAAAACTTTCAATGTGTGAGGGGGTTACATTTTTTTATATGTATATTTTGTATCGTTCACACATAATAGAGAAAAAACAAACTTTTCCTAAAATCGCGTTTCCCATGGTTGTGTTGTTGTCGGAACGAGAACCTTCCACTTTCTACTCAGAAAAATGTCTACTTTTTCACACTGTATATAGGTAAAATATACAAATTCATATCTGACGAAGATTTATATATCTGACGAATGTACCTTATATCTGACGAGAAGTGAGAGAGAGAATTAGTACTTAAAGCTATTAGTTTCTTCTTTCTCTTTCTGGTTTTTTTTTTTTT